TGAATTTACCAAACATCTCATCGTTACTACCAGAGAAACCACCACCAACATCTACCAATTTTAATTCCATTCCTAAATTTTTGGCCATATCAAATACCTTTTTGACCATGGTCAATGCAGAGTCGTATGCAACGGCGTCAAAGCAACCACTACCAACATGAAAACTCACACCTACAACTTTTAGATTCATTTCTTTGGCCATTTCTAATAAATCTGCACAATCATCAATGTGAACTCCAAATTTGGTACCAAATCTCATTAGTGCTTTACTGTCATCTGGTGCAATTCTTAAAACTAATTCTGCTTCTGGGAAGAATTTTTCAATCTTTTCTAATTCACTAACATTATCAAATGTCATTAATTTAACATTATTAGTTCTAGCAAACTTTTATATAAATAATAATTATTAATATTTATATTCTATAACTATATAAAATAAATTTAAAATTATATTTACTTTTAAAGCAGAAATTTGTTTACATGGATTTGCATAAATAATACGAGTTGGATCAACACCTAAATTTAAAACTGTTTCAATTTCAGTTCTAGAAGCACAATCAAAACTTGAACCTAAAGCTTCTAAAACTTTTAGAATACCAACAGTTGGATTACATTTGACAGCATAGAAAGGTGTGACATTGGGTAAATGTTTCTTCCATTTTTGCCATTGCTTCATAATGACACCAATATCTGCTACAAAAAATGCGTCTCTGTCATTTTTATCCAAAAGTGATGTAATTAATTCTTGAATTGAAACCTCTGGTGCCCATGGTTTAACATCCAATTCCTTTTTGATGCTTTGTAATTTCTCTTGAATATTTGAGACTTTAAATTTTTTTTCAACAGTGCCATTGTTTTCTGTAGTTTCATTGGTAGTTGTAGTACCATTTGTTGTTTCATCAACTTGATCAATAGTTCTTTTTGACATTTTTTGTTTATATGAAAATTAGTCTCTTTTAAAAGTGTCTTTTATGAGTGGTATTTTGAACAAACAAAAAAGAAATTTTTTTTTTTTTAATTTTATTTAATTTTAAATTTTATTCGTTCGTTTTCATCTATTAAATAATTTTAATATAATAATCAAAATGATATCATTTTAAACTATTTTTTTTTTTTATTATTTGAATTGTCTTTTATATATATTTAATGAGTAAATTTCAAATTTATCCAAATTTTAATATCTTTTATTATAATCTAAAATTTATTAGTATTGCTTTTAGGTTAGATGTTGTAATATAATATTTTTTTTTATATTACCATTTAAAATTAAATTAAAAAAAAATGGTAGATTAATTTTAATTGAACCGCCTTTTTTAAAAATTATATTTTAACAGTTAATCAAAAATTTAAAAAAGTTTTTTTTTTTGTTTTTAAATTATAATAGTAAAACGAATTAACTTAGATTTGTTTCAATGGTTAAAATTAGATTTAAATGGAGACTTTAAAAGAAAATCATCATCCTAATAGACTATCTGTTAGTAGACCTCCAATTAAATTTTCAACCAATACAGTAAAACAACAATTACAATTACAACAACAACAGCAACAACAACAGTTAAATAATAATAATAATAATCAATCAATAGGTATTAGTAATAATAATGAAAATGGATCACCAAAAATTCAATCACCAAATAATAATAATTCCCCAAATCAAATAGTATTAACCAATATTGTATTATCACCAATAACACAAGCAATAAAAGGATCACAGATAGAACCAAAAGATACAACTCATCCAGCATGGTGGTGGAAAATTATAAGTCAAGAAATTGAAAAATTTAGAAACGGTGAAAAATTAAAGAGTACTGATGATGTACAATACATGTTGAAACTTTATCAACGTGCTATCAGTATTATAAATAATAAGGAACATATGAATACTTTAGAATTAGCCCAAATATTTTCAAGTTATTCAACATTTTTAATGTATGTAAAATAATTTATAATAATAATAATAATAAATATTTATTTATAAAACAAAAATATATAGTCGAATAGGTGAATATGAAGATGCAAAACAAACATTAAAATTTATGAAAATTAATAAGATTGGAATGAATAGATCAGAGGTACATGTTTCATTTGCACTATTGGAAATTAATAATAATAATTTTGAAAAATCACGTATGATCATACAAAAAGCCATTGATAAGGGTGCTGAACCTTTAATAACTTTGGAAGAATGTATAAGATTTATAAATAAGAAAGAAGAACATTATAATCATGCTATATCACCACAACCATTACAACCAAAACAACTAACAAATATTCCAACACCACCAAGTAATACACAACCATTATCAGTAATTTCACCAACATTTCAACAACCAATTCAAAGATCAACATCATTAATTCAACCACCAACTACTAATAGTATTGGAGTTAGTAGTACAATAAGTAATAAATATGTACCAATAACATCATCAACATTTTCAACACCAAGAACGTCAATACCACAACCTCAATCTATACAAAAATCATTAAATTCCAGTACTATTAGACCAATTGGTCTAAAATCTAAAGCAATGAGAGTTGAAGTTGATCCAAATAATTCTAATGAAACTACTGATGAAGAAATGTTAAAATCACCAGAAAGAAAAGATATTGATAATTTACAAAATGATTCTAATGAATCATTAATATCTTCTTCTTCCTCTTCATCATCCTTATTATCACCATTACATAATAATCAATATCAAAAAGTAGAACAACAGGAAGAAGAAATTGAAGAACAAGTAGTACAAGATGAAGAAGAATTTATAGAACCAATTAAAGAAGATATTGATAAAATTCATATTGATGAAATTGAAATAGATGAAAATTTAAATAATCATAAACAAAATATTATAAATAGATATAACAGTAAATTAACCTCACCTCCACCAATTCAATCAATTTCAACAATTAAACCTGTACAACAATCATTACAACAACCAATACAACAACAACAACAATCAATACAACAACCACAACAAAAACAAATTCAAAATAATAATAATATAAAAAATAATAATGATGAAGTTAACAAAATTAAATCATTTGAATTAGCAAAAAGTTGGAGTGAAGTTGCTATGGTAAATAATAAACCATATTTGAGAATTGAATTTATTGGTAAAGGTGGTAGTGGTAAAGTTTATAAGGTACTAAGTCAAGATTTAAAAATTTATGCACTAAAGTATGTGTGTTTGGGTACAGATCAGAATGAAATCAACTGTCAATTGAATGAAATTGAAATGTTAAAAAGACTGTGTAATCAACCATTTATTATACAATTGATTGACTATGAAGTAAATCTACAGAAGGGTTATATATTGTTAGTATTGGAATTTGGTGAAATTGATTTATCCAAATCTCTGTTGAGACTCTCACAAGATCCACTATCTACCAGTACACATCATCAAGGTGGAATCAATGTAAATTATATACGTGTCTATTGGCAACAAATGTTACAAGCTGTACACACAATTCACGAAGAGAGAATTGTTCATGGCGATTTAAAACCTGCCAATTTTGTCTCTGTTGCCGGCAATCTAAAATTGATTGATTTTGGTATTGCTAAAGCCATTCAATCCGATGACACTACCAATATTATTCGTGATTCTCAAATTGGTACAATGAATTATATCTCTCCTGAGGCTCTCATTGATACTAGTTCTTCGGGTCCTGGTGGCAAACAATGCATGAAGCTTGGTAGAGCTTCGGATATTTGGTCTCTAGGTTGTATATTGTACGAAATGGCTTTTGGTTATCCTCCTTTTAAGAGTTACTCCAATATGTTTACAAAATATCATGCCATTATCAACCCAAATCATGTCATTCATTTTCCAGATCATAAAAATCAAAATCTCTTGGATGTTTTAAAACGATGTCTTCAGAGAAAACCTCAGGACAGACCTACTATACCTGAACTTTTGATTCATAATTTTTTAAAAAATTGAACAACAATTATTTGGTAATAATAAATTCTATTGATATATTTACTAATTAATAATAAGTAAATATTTCTATACTAGTTTATAAAAAATTTATTGTCACAGATAAGAACTGGATTAATGGAAAATGCGCAATTTGTTATTTAAAAAGTTTAGATTCATTTGCAAAACTAATCCATTTCAATGAATATTTTTTATATGATGATTATATTGCAGCTCCTTTTGTTGAAACAATAGTTCATTATCTTTTTGGCAGGTTTTAAATTGAAAGTTTTATTGTTTGTTATTCAATTTGGTTATGGTAAATTTTTTGTATCTAATAGATAGATTTATCTATAAATTTAAATGAATCTTTAAAATAACTCGACCACAAATTTTATTATTTTTTATATATTTATTGTTGCAAGAATCTCTAATATAATAGGAACGACTGGGATGAATGTTTATTTTGTGATGTTGTAATGTAATTGAAGCTGGGAAATGAATCGTAATGTATATAATAATCGAGATGGATTGAGATCTGAGTGACAGTGATGATCATTACTGCACACCAATATCCGCTATTTTGAGAGATGCTAGACAAAAGTAACCTACCTTCAATTTCGTCAAACTCATTCGTCTTGTACTGTATCACTGTCAGTAATCCTATCATTCACTTGCTGTGAATTTACCAATCTCTCATTATAACTATTCATTAAGAAAAAAATTATATCCACTCCACTGGGCTAAAATGTAAACAATGTTTGTATAACTAAGATGAATATGTTTTATGATAGTCTTTATTTTATGTATACGAATAACAGAGTTGAGCTCGGAATAATAGATGTATGATGTGATCTGAGATGAGATGGTCTGAGATGTGTGAGAGAAATGATAGATACTATCGTTAATGCTACAAAAAAGATTTTATATTTTTGATTTTTATGACAAAACCAAAATTTTCCTATTTGGTATTTTTAAAACATTATAAATACATAACTAGGCATTTCAGGAGCAAAATACGAATAATTCAGAGGGTATACCCTGGAAGGGTCAGAAGGGGCAGAAGGAAAATAAAAAAAGGCATGTTCTCTGTGAGGATCGAACTCACGACCTCAGGATTATGAGACCTACGCTCTACCAGCTGAGCTAAGAAAACGGCTTGTGATATAAAATTTTTATGGGTATCCTCAGCAGATTTTTTTTCGAAAATGTGCCACTCTCACCCACTATATTTGTTTTAGTAATGGAATGTATGGCCAGAGTAATCCTAAGTCATCCAAGGATAGGTGGTCTGCCAATGACTGAAGAGTAATCAAATTATGGAGTGCATTGCAGATTGTTGTCATTTGCAGACGACACCCTAACAATGGCTAAAGACGAAAAGGAATTCGAGATTGTGGATGAGGTAATCAAAAAGTTCTGTCGGGCAACATCATCATCAATCAATACGGACAAATGTGTAATAATGACGTTTGATTCAGCCAACAGCAAGAACAAGAAACTAATAACTAACAGAAATCTACCTTACCCCATTGCCACAGCAATTCAAAGTGAAAGGTACCTAGGTATGTTTTTTAACAGCTATGGAGTAGTCTCACAAGGTGAAAGGTTAATAGACAACTGTGAAAGATTGATGAAGCTGTGGAAAACAAGATCCTCTACATTCAGAGGGAGAATGGCCATCCTAAAGTCATACATCCTGTCTAAAATGACATACCACTTATATATAGACTCATTCCAAATGGACAAACTGGAGGAACTATGTAAATGGTTCTTATACTCTAGCAAAGACTGGGACCCTACCAAGAAAAATAGAAACAAAATATCACAAGCAAGAGCGTCCAAATCAATTCTACATGGTGGAATCAGTCTATGGAAAATGGATATTAGAGCAAGGGCTCAAAAAGCTTGGATTTTTACCACCTTCATCAACAGATTAAATAGATCTTCAGCTCTAGCAGTCTCCTACGAGGATGCATGGATACATAGATGGAGAAACAACATGCCGTCTGAATTTATGAAAAACTGTTATGAAGCATGGAAAGATTACACAAACTCTAAAACAGAAATAGGTTCCAAGACAATTCCAGAAGGAACCAATAGAAGAATAAGACTAAAAGAAATATATGAAATAATGATGAAACGTATAGACGGTCAAAGAGAAGTGATGATACTCACTGAGGGCCAAAGAAAATTAAGAGAAGAGAATGTAAATCTACCCCACATCCTCAAAAACCTGAAGAACTGTCATAATAACAAAGGTAGAGACCTGATGTGGAGATATATACTTAAAGCTTTACCAAAAGTCCATGGTAGTGTGTGTCCATTCTGCAAGGAAACAGAAACGTCAGAACACATATTCTTTACCTGTAAAAGACTGGGTTTCATAAAGAATATTCAAGAAAGAGTTCTATCAAGTAGATACCAATGGAACCAAAGAATATTAAACCAAATCAACAACCCAGTATTGGGTTCATTTATTGCTATATTGTTTGACTTCATATGGTATTCGAGAAATAAGAAAAACCACGATAAAATTGATATGGAACTGAACTGGCTAGCTGTCACCTACAAGATGAATATAGCTAAAAGAGCAGAATGGGAAAAAACGTTCGGCCTAATGTCCAAACACTGGAGACTCCACCACAGTACCACTATAGACAAGGTGAAAAACCAATGTATATCCTCGATCAAATTTCAAATCAAAATGTTCACCAAGACTTGGTGCAAAAATAACAACCTAATACAAATTCTAATACCAGACCATTTTATGGCCCTTTTCAATGTACATAAATAAACTTTAGATCCAACTCCTACATGTTAGGGGTCTGGGCATAAGGGTATCAATTGGTACGCCTTTAACACAAAAAATTTCGAAAATGTGTTCATTATTCATAGTGTTTTACAAATGTGTAAAGTACTAAGTATTAACAGTTACGCTAAAAGGTCTTAAGATGATAGTCATCCATTCCTGACTACCTTTTATGTATACTTTATACTAATCTATATTGTACTCTTGTAACTTGGTAAGGAACATTCTTACAAATGTAAAATCAACAACCCAGTATTGGGTTCATTTATTGCTATATTCTTTGACCATATGGTATTCGAGAAATAAGAAAAATCACCATAAAATTGATAAGGAACTGAACTGGCTAGCTATCACCTACAAGATGAATATAGCTAAAAGAGCAGAATGGGAAAAAACATTCGGCCTAATGTCCAAACACTGGAGGACTCCACCACAGTACCACAATAGACAAGGTAAAAAACCAATGTATATCCTCGATCAAATTTCAAATCAAAATGTTCACTAAGATGTGGTGCAAAAATAACAACCTAATACAAATGTACATTCTTCTATATTTTCCATATACTAAATTATACATAAAGTACTTCATTATTTATTCATTAAACTTAGTACTTTACAAAAATGTACATATGTAGTATTAAATCTCATTAAACCTTATGATTCTAGAATTCTATATTCTCTGGTAATTCCATATTTTAAATATTTAGCATTATAAAAACAAAATAAATTAATTAATCAACACATTATCTTTTCTATAAAATATAAGTCCACTGCATCTCATTTTTATACACACTTTCAAAATTAATATTGGTGTTAAAAAAAAATTGGAAAATTACACTACCTGCAACCCCCAGGTGGAAACATATATATGTTTCCACCGGTGTGCTGCAGGTGTTTAATTTACAAAAAATTTAAAACAGTATAATTTTAATATCTTTATTAACTATTAATGGATTTAATTGTTTCAAAAAAGTTACAAAAAGAAAAACAAAAGTTGACCCTTCAAGAGCAACATGATAAAGAACTTTGTATGAGAGTGAAAAAAGATAAGGTAATCCCTGTTTTAAATCAATTATGCTTTAGATATAGACTAAAATCTATTTCAAGAGATATACTTATTGAAGAGCTAACAAAGCTATTTAATGAAGATATTGCTCATTATTATGCAGACTTGATGGACAATATTGGCGATGGGAGATTTCTCCCACCTGCTGAAGTCGTATATACCATGGAAGTTACAAAGAAATACATAGACTTGTTATTGAAATACAAGAATGAATATATGGAAGAAATAGAAAATATGGGTTGTCAATATAAAATGTTAAAATTAACACCTATTTCAAAACCAAGCAATACATTTGTTCATGAGTATTTAATGGTTAACCCAAAAATAAATTAGATAAATAATTAAGTACTTCTTTAGTATTTTAGAATATAGGAATAATATATGAATGTATTTAGAATAGCAAACTTTGATGAAATAAATGAAGAAAGTAGTTTAATTTAAGTTGTTCACAAGTGGACCACGATAATTGCCTCTTCTGCAATGCTGAAATAGAATCGTCGTCTCACATTTTCAAATGCAATGAATTTTCCAACATTAAATAGATTTTCTCAAAATGTCTGAATACGAAATACAACTATGTACCATTATTGAATACTAAAGCCAGAGTTAGATAAAGCAAGAGAAGTTGAAAGCCTTAATAAACATTTTTTTAGATTTGTTATTGTCATTTCTTTTTATATTTTATTTAATTTATAATAATGAGAGGAATAATTATTTTTTTTTAATTTGAAGTATCCATAGCATCGGTATTATGAGAAGTAGTATCCTCAGATAAAATGGCAGAATATTGAGAGGCCAAAGCACCAGATTTTATAGAGGTTTTTATAAATTCCTCAAATTTAGCAACCGATTCACTATTTGGAATTCTAGAGATGGCAGCAATAGCTCTGAGAGCAGAACGAACACATTCTTCATTACGTTCAACTTGTTGTTTGACAGCAGTATCACCAACTTTTTGTACAAGAGTCAATCTCAAAGGTTCAATGAGAGAGATTAAACCTTCCAAAAGAGCAGGACCATTAGATTGAGAGAGACGAACAATCATCAAATGACAGAGTAATTTGATATCGTATTGGGTGTCCTTTAGACCATCAGCAATTGCAGCAATAAATGCTGGAATATCAATCTTATCAATAGAGGTATCCAAAAGAGTGTACATACATTCAAATGCTGTTTTTCTAATTTCTATACCATCATCAACCTTATGTTTAAATGGACCCAAATCAACTTCTCTAATTAATTCTGGTTTAATTTTACTGTTATTATAGAGAATTGGTAAATAATTTGATAAATTATTACGAATTAATCCAGCTTTGTTGTGTGATATATAATTTAATGTTAATAATGCTGATCTTTTAACAATCTAAATAAAAAAAAAATAAAAATAAAAGTATTAATATCGTTTTAATCTTGTGTGTGAGTATGTTTTTGGTATACATTACTAAATCTGTATCTAAAAGTAAGGTTAAGAAATCAGAAATATGTGGAGCTAAAAATTGATCAACTAAATCTTTAGATTCTAAAATTGAAAATTTAATAGAAGTAACAATAGTAGATCTTTCAAGATTAGAGGTAGATTTGATTTTTTCTTGAAGTTTTGGAATGATATCTTTTGGAGAGATCATTGAAACTTTACCAAGGCATTCAGCTACAATATTACGAGTACCCTCTTCTTCATTTACACAATTTTCAAAGAGAATTGGTAAGATGGTTTGTAGGTATGGCAGAATGGCAGTAATACCTTGTGAGGTACTTGACAATTTAATAATGGTTTCTCTGAGTGAATGTAATAGGAGATATTGTTTCTTTGGTTGATTTTTAATTTGTTCCAAAATGAATGGTAGATAGGATTGTAGTGAACAAACTGCAATATCACCAAGACATAAAGCAGCAACTTGTTTAATTTCCTCATTGGCAGCATCAAATGTCTTATAGACTGATGATTGTAATTGTGCAGAGGTAGCACTGATATCAATACGACGACCAATTTCACCAATACATGATAGAGATAGTAATACCAATGATTCATTGTTACCTGTTAGATTACCCAACAATGTATTAATTGTTTGTTGTCTCTTATCAGAAGTGGTATGAACTGTAATGATGGCAATACATTGAGAGATGGATAAGAATGCTTGTCTGGTAACTGGTTGTTTGATTTGTGATGCACAATCAATGAGTAATTGTAATAAATCTTGATAGGTCATACCTGGTTCATTAATCTCAACAATGATACCAAACAATGTCAATAGTGAATCTAGAGCAACACCTTGTAACA